AAAGGCTGGGGAGATGGCTCAGTAGAATAAATGCTTCCCTGGCAAGCGCAAGGGTCTGAGTTCAATCCCTGGTTCCGAAAAAAAAAAAAAAAAAAAAAAAAGGGAAAGAAAGGAATTTCCCATGTGCAAAGACCCAAGAGCAAGATACAGTAATGACAAGGCAGGAGGATTTGCTGTTGAGTTTGAGGTTAGCCTGAACCACTGTACGTAGACCCTGTTGAGGGGGTCGCTTTCGGAGGCTACATCAATGATGTGATGGGAGGGGCAGTTTCTCATTTAGGTGGCAGGAGATGTGAGAGGTTAGGGGGTGGAGATGAGGCTGGAAAAAGACTTGCTGAGGCCAGATGGCACAGGGCTTAATTTTACCAGGACAGCATTAGCAGCAGCAGCAGTCTGGATCAGGGAATGGCCCATGTTATTTGTACTTTGGAAAGACTCCTCTAGGCAGGTATGGTGGCCCAAGTCTTTAATCCCAGCTACTCATCTAATGGAGGCAAAAGGATTGAAAGTTGGAGGCCCAGAGGACAATTTAGGCTGGGGATATAATTCAGTGGCACAAGTGCCTATCTAGCAAGCACAAGTTCTTGAATCCAATTCCTAGTACCCTCTACCCAGACCAAAGGGAAAGAAAGAAAAAAGAACATAACTTCTTTTTTTTTTTTTGTTTAAAGTAAGAGTTTACAGAGTCTCACTACATAGATCGGACTCGTAGTGATCCCCCTGTGTTCAGCCTCCCAAGACCTGGGATTACAGTCTCTCACCACCACACCCAGTCTCAAATGCCCTCTCGGGGTGCCCCAGGGGCAGGGCCGGCAGGGCACGCTGGGGATCAAACCCCTGGTCTGCTGCATCTGCCTAAGCAGGCGCTTTAGTCAGCTGAGCTATTTGGCCGGCCCACACGTACCTGCTTCTTTAAAAAAAGAAACTAACCACTGGGTGTGGTGGCTGACACCTGCCACCTCAGCACTCAGGAGGCTGAGTCAGGAGGACTGCAGAGAGTTTGAAGCCCTACGCAGCCGCATAATGAATGTGAAGCCAACCCAAACTACACAGTGACTCCTTCTCTCTAAGACAGCAGTCTAGGGAAACCAAGCACGGTAACACACACCTGTAATCTCAGCACAATTGCAGGCTAATACACGAAGATTACAAGTCAAGTCAGCCTAGCCCGGGGAATGTAGTGACTTAACATGACCCTGTATATTAAAAGGGTGTGTGTGTGTGTGTGTGTGTGTGTGTGTGTGTGATCTTTGACCCAGGTGACTAGGTGGTTGGCAAGGCCAGGCTTAAGGTGGGGACATGAGAGAGAAACAGTATTTGGAATAAGATACCAAACTCATGGTAGGGTTTGTGAGTGGGATGCCTCTGGAGCATTCTGGTGAGAAGTGTGAGAAGCCTTTGAGTCTACCAATCTACAGGAATCTGCATCCGAGCCAGGGTGGCTTCAGCAGAGGATGGGGGAGACTTGGGATTACTAGTGGATCATTGGGGCACAGGGGGCATTGCAAGGATCAATGACATTTTGGAATCGAGGTAGGTTTTGGAGGAAGAGTGAAGTTATTGAGGGCAGTGAAGTCATGTGGAAGTATACTGGAGGCTGGTGAAGAATACAATAGGATGTTTGAAGTTAGTATTAATTAGTAGTGGATCAAGGCCGGAGGAGATGGCTCGAAAGCGCAAGAGTCTGAGTTCAATTCCTGGTTGGGGGGGGGAATGAAGTTAATTTTGGGGCCAGGGAGATGGCTCAGTGGAATAAGCACTTCTCTGGCAAGCACAGGGCCTGAGTTCAATCCCCGGTTCTGGAAAAAAAAAAAAAATTAGTAGTGGATTACATGAAATCTTTGGGGTTTTGTGGTGACGCTGGGTCAGCTAGGATTTTGGGGTGGGGAAAAATGGTTAAAGACCTTAAGCTGTCAGGGAGAAATACTGGACATCAATCAGGTGGGTGGGCATATTGTGGATTTAAGGCACAAGGAGGGCTGGGGATGTAGCTCAGGACTCAGCACTTGCCTGTCAAGCGCGAGGCCCTGAGTTCGATTCCCGGTGCAAAAAAAACCCAACAAAAAACAAGGATCACCTAGGGTCAGCTGTGATATCATGAGAGGGCTGTAATACTGACTAGGCCTCTTAAGGGTCCCTCCGTTGCTAGGCAAATAGTTCCCAGGGTGTCGTTGTTAGGGACCAGAGCTTTCCAAATAGCCCCGCCCCATCCCCGAGCGGACCCCGCCCCCGCAGCCAACCGCTTTTCAGCAGCAGCCTGGGAGGCCCGCCCATCTTTGGGACCCGCCCACAGCAGGGAACCGTTACCCTAGCGACGGCCGGGCTTGTCCCGCCTCCGGACCCCTGTGCCAATCCAAAAAGCGTTGCCGCGGCGACGCTCCCACCTCTTCCGGCGCGGGTCCGCTGCTTCCGGCAGGGGGCCGGGCGGCGGGCGGCGGTCCTGCAGCGGCGGGGCCCGGGGGGCGCCCAAGATGGCGGCAGGTGGCGCGGAGGGTGCCTCGGGCCCCGGCGCCGCCATGGGGGATTGCACGGAAATCAAGTCGCAGTTCCGCACCCGCGAAGGCTTCTACAAGCTGCTTCCCGGCGACGGCGCCGCTCGCAGGTCGGGTCCTGCCTCCGTCCAGACCCCGGCGCCGCCCCAGCC